AACCAGGAGTTTCCTAGGGAGGTGGCAGCAAAGGAAGTACAATCGGCAATAAATAAAGATTGATCTTATAAACTACATTTAGGTGCAATATAAATGTTTGAAATGCATATGTAGTTATATGTGGGGAGGTGTTTTGGTTGGCATTTAACGGTGAGACAGTCAATTTTATCACTAGAAGGTGTGAAACATACATTTTCTGAAGTAGACCACTGAGAATTAATGAAGGTTACAATGACGCCACCACACTTCTTTTCTGACCTACACCAGTCTTTTCTGAATAATTTGAAACCATTAGGACAGACTAAATTATCATGATACAGGTCATGAAGCCAGGTTTCTTAAAGAGTTACAATGCCTGCATTGCACTATACATTACAGGACACAAGGGACTACAGACAGTCAACTTTACCTGTCAAGGAATGACAGCTTCGCTCGTAGTCTCAGGAACAGTCACTCGATATATTGCAATACGTTTTAAAGTAGGATGCCACCCAAGATGATGCTTTTACTTGGGTTTATGCAAATTTGCAAAGCCGCAGGTTGTAAGCGTTTTGTAGTAATCCACTGGTTCACTAGTATGATGATAATACTGCTAAAAATGTCCTCTGGTATTATTGCACCATGTGACCTAATGGGAAGCACTTGTCATGAAAGCTGTTAATGTGCAGCATACTGTATGATTGGGACGGAGTCAAAGCAATCCAATATTACAACTGCGGTCATTGTAAAAGGTCTCAGAGCTTAATGTCAAAAAAGGAGGGAGGGTGGCGCATGCTGATCAGCAGATTTGGTAGTGGTCACAAATGTGAATCGCTCCGATCTGCAGGACAGCAACATGCATTATTTTGGCAGCTCGAGAATTAAACATGAGTTTAGGTACTGAAAGTATAAAAAATTGACTTTATAAAAAAATTTAAAAAAGAACAAACTAAAACAATAATGACTGTACAGTTTTAGCTTGTAAAAAAATAATAATGCTTTCGCTCCTAACATCTACAAGCCTGCTCAGTTTCTTGTCAAGATGCTATCCCATGGGCCATACACAAGTTCACCAGACATCCTATAGGTCACCATATTCAACAGGTTCTAATCCTTCTAGCCACTTCTCTCTAAAATGTCACTTATATACTTCACGATAATCCCTCTACCTAATTACCATTATACTCTATCTCATCTCAACTTCCTAGGCCTTTAGTAAAGCTGAAATGTACTCTTTTGTTTTTCTTTTTTCTCGTTCACACTCTTCTCTCGCATAAAGTTCGGTTGCTCTGATGGTAAAAAAACATAACAACAGCACTCATGTTTGAGAATAACTTTATTTTCATAGAAAACGTCATAGTTTTCCATGGTAAGACCAATGTGGTTAGCATCATGCATTGCAAATGTGTATTATCATTTCAAGTACTACATAGCTTCTTGTATTTATCTTGTATATATACTTCCAATAATGTATTATTCATGACTGCATTTTATACCACTTTGTAGCTGTGCAGGATTTTCTTCTCTTCCTGAAATAGCGTTCAAGCATGTGGTTATCGCTCAACTTCGACGGAAACCTTCGTGGAAGATTTACAAATCAACAATTATAAGAATCTGTTCCGATTGCTTGTACTATATAATTCAACAATTTGAACTTTTTAAAAAAAGTGATAATCTTACTATCCCTTGTAAGCGTTGTACTTACCTCAATATTGTTTGGCTATCGTATGCCTACAACTACGGGTTGAAAACGAAATGAAGTCGATTTTCCTGCGCAACCTGGAGGACTACTGTTTAATTCAATAATTATACGACATGGGTCAGACAATGAGTGTATTTATATACATATCAAATATTTAGCTGTTCAAACATTATTAACTTGTAGACAATCTACTATTTGTCATTATATCATACTTGATGGTGCCTGTAAAAATGGCATGCATTTTCATGTAAATTTATGTTTATATGAAAATATAAATTGTTATTATTATGATTGTAAATGGTACGATTAGAAGTCATGTTTTTAATGGGTTAGTAATTTAAAATGAATCCAACACGGGAAATTAGATGCAATGTTATGACAGATAGATTTTTACTAGCCCAAGATTTAAGCAGGTCGCCAAAAGTGATGTTAAATGTAGGGTTACCACCGAAATTTCAAATTAAATCGAGGGCCTAGGTGAGCGATGCATAAACCGCAGATGAGGAGGCAATGGTATTACGCTTCACTTTCACAGAGATGGTATATGCGTTAATTCCCGGCCTATATTTGCCTCCATTTTCTTTGTGTTTAGCCTCATAACTCCCACTGACTCTGATAGGCATGAACCTGTATTCTATGTACGATTTCGCACATCCGTAAACACAGTCACTCATTTCCGTCTGAATTTATTCCACTTAATAGAGTATTTACCTTCTTATGGTCACACGGGATTTGATGCCAACTTTTTCCCATGTTCCGCTCTCCACTGAACATTTTATTCTAGTCTCTTTATTCTCAACGTGTATTTTCGCAAGTTATTTCCCCAATAAGATCAGCATTGGTGGAGCCATTATGCTTTCTCACACTGACCCCACAATAACAATGCGTTTGAAGATATTCAGGACATCTCAAGTTTCCAAGACTATTTGAAAACCCAGCAGTTTAATGTTAGTCTCACCATTTTTACGTCTTGTTTCTAGCTGGGACAAAACTTCTTTTCGTTTAAGTCTGTCTTCAAGAGATAAATCAGGTCTGACTGAAATTCCTGACCCGGCAAGGTTGTGTACATTAGCCAGTAGATGATTCCATTCATCAGGAGAACCTAAGACTACTTTAAGCAACCTACGCTGATTAGAACATTCATCATCTCTTTTGCCTATTCTGATCAGCTTTTTAATCGATACTCCAGGGAAATTCGCTGGGAGCATCTTCCTTATAATACTACTCACTAATTTAAGGTCGTGATCGTGCCTTTTCACGGGATCAGACTCTTCTAAATTTCCAACAATTATGCTAGAGTCTAAGGAGAGCTTGTCGTATTTAGCAGTGGCTACGTCTTTTCTCACCACTATTGATGCAGCCTGGCTACAGGTGACAGACGTTTGCCTACCATCAATATTACTATATTTCTTCCGATTGCTTATTTTTGTTACCCACTTATCATCTGCCTGCAGTTGCTTCTCAGGGCTGCTGCAGTTTTTGGTGGTACAATCAAGATCAGTGTCTGCACCACCTTCATGGTGAACTTCGCTTACACTGTTCTCTGGAGCTGAGATGCTGTTTACAGCTTCCGTTTTGTTACCTTTTCGCTTACTAAGACGCTTCGAACGCCTAGTAGGTTTTACTTCTGGGGTAACTGGGATAGTACCCGCCGGTGTGATAACATTCATGGTGGCACTTGCTGCGTCATCTTCAAACGGGCAGTCCGTGTCACTCTTACTAGCCACGCTATCATCAGGAAGTTCCATGGCTTTAGACAGTAGTTCGTGAGCCTCCCTTATTAAAGCCATCTTTGGGGAGCAACACATTCTGCACATCCAGAGGGATGTTGGAGCACTACAACGTTTGTATGCAGCTGGACGTAATCCAGTACACATCTTATGATACCACTTTTTACAGTTATTACACTGTATTTCATCATCTACCAAAATGTAACACTCCACCCTATTACATTTATGTGGTACTTTTGACGTAATGAACTACTGGAACAGCCAAGACAATTTACACAATATAGACTATATAAATGTTTAAAATCAAAACTTAACAGACAAAAGTCAAGTTAAAGTTTTTTAAATGTTCTTGAAGTGAATAACACAACAAAAACAGCGATTTGTCAAACACGTGAAAAAACACCTTGACTTACCATGGAGTATTGTTCTGGAGAAGCTGACAAGGTTCCTGTCAGATGTTTCAGCACTCACTGAACAAACAGTATATGCCAAGGCAGAGACAGTAGGATGCTCTATCACCCATTTAAGTGAAAAGACAGACAATTCCTACGACACGAAGCCCAGCACAGTTTCAGGAAAGATCTGTCCAGTGCAGTCAAATATTTGGCAGCTAAGTACATCTCGGAAGAGTACTGAGACCAGAGCATTTAACTCCTTGCGTTGTTTCTGGATCTGAGAAAAGCATAAAATTTGCATATACATGCAGCCTATTTGGAAAAGTCCAAAAATGAAGCAACGCAAGTAGCTAATTTCAGCTTACTGAAATTGCTGACTTTCACACACAATCTTAACAATAACTCAAATTATCTAGCTCTATACACCAATGATACAAACATAAGAGGTGAAGGAAACTCTCTCAGGTCTCAAGAACACACTAATATCGAAGAGCCCTGGGCCATGAAAAAGCCCTGGCATTTAACATTAACAAATATAGAGAAGTGACAACACCAGCATAACAAAGGGTTTTAGGTTTCTTATGTGAAGCTGATCATCGGCTAGTGTAGGCAGAAAAGTAGACACCAGCTCCGTATACTTAGAAGACGCAACCATAGCCACTACATACCTCTACTCCAAGAGCAGGAAGCAAAGTGCACTTACAAATGGAATTTCCATACAATGATAACAAACATATATGCATCCGAATTTAGAAGAAGATGACGTTGCAGCCCCATTACTTCTGGAGTGAGACGTTATGGGGGATCGTAGAAGTTGGTGAATTCAGTTGATCTCCAGTTATTTCACTTTCAACCGTCATTTCGTTTATTTATATTCATAGAAGTCAAAGAAGACACTCAAGGTACAGTTTAGCCTTCACCAAAAAATATAATGTGGTTGCGTACCTCTAAATATTGCTAATATCGCTATTCACTGAACACATCATTAAACAGCCGTAAGTACAATATTTCCCCGCCATTAGGGGAAGTGGTGTCAACAGCAGCCTGACCACCACATAAGAATGGGCCAAGTGAGGGTGTCAATCATCTATTTGGTTAAAGCTCAGGTCTAGCAGGATAGGCGACCAAACAGCAGCCATAAACGTTAGTTCTGGTTGAGAACAACAGAAAAATGAAGCAATCCAATCAGTGTTACTAGGTGACCTCCTGGAACATCCATCTCGTAGAAAACGCAGAAAGGAGGGCAAGTAAAAACTTCGACAGACTAAGTTACTGATTCTATAATGGTCGACTTTCAGTTGTCGCAAAAAGTAGAGTGACCCAGTTACGACACACAAGTTAGTGCACAGCCGAAAATATCCTAACCAAGACACATTACCAGAAAGGTATTAAGGCAGCCCATAGGGTAACTGTAACATAGATGCACACCGAAGGTCAGATGCAAAAGTAAAATGTCATCTTTCTCCTGAAGACCTTTCCGCCTTGTGGAATTAAATACTACCCCATCTGGTTACCACTTCATCATTGTACAATTTCAAAGGAGGTATAGACCATGATACGAAAATGAATGGGCTGCGCAACTAAAGGACAGGTCCACGTGTTAAGAACCTAACGAAGATTTAGCTGCAAATCTAAGGGTTAATTAGCGAACTATAAGAAGTGATTACGTCTCTACAAATCAGTCACGAATATATTGGGTATCCTATTGTTGTCTAATGAACCACCTTTTCAATGCACGTCCTCAGGACAGTATAATGAAAAGACGTCGAAATGTGGATTAGAAGATGAAAAGTCCATAAAATCGTTTTTGGACAGTGGTTTTTGCACTTCGACTGTGCTCAATGCAGATTAAACTTTTGACTTCATGGGATATTGAGATACTTTGCGACCAAGTTCTTTTTATGGTCACAGTCACTGTTTCACGGCTATGTATTGAGCTGGTAAAGCAAAGTGAGTAGTTAGTAAATATGTAGATATATGTATATGTGTAGTTATTCTCACTGTATTCCAAGTGGCCGGTTGTCTTCTCCGTTCAAGACCGATTATGTTTTCTCTGCATACTGCAGAGAATACGGAAACTTTGTGTTTTGTTGAAGCACTTTAGAGATGTATTTGGTGACATTAATCGTGCAGTGACAGTAATTGTGGACTAGCAGTCTTGGATCCAAAGTTGGTACAGGGGACCTTTCCAACTGCGAGAGTTGTATAGAATTCCTCATTGGTTAGGAATGTTAGGCAGATATCACTACTTCGTTCTAATCACCTCCTTATTATCATTTGAAAATATAAGTGCGAGCAGTACCTTCGCTGAAATGACGTCCGCCCTTTGTGCAAATAAGTAAGTAACTACTACTGCTTAAATCCTTTTAGTTTTGAATGCGATTTACCACGGACAAGGAAATTGGATGGTGAAATTTACGATCAAAATGTCCGGAATTGGAAACCGGAAAAATAATTTGTTGGTACCTGCATTCCCACAGGATGTTGTCACACTATGTTTCAAAGTAAATGGTACAGTTAAATCTTCTCAAACCCGCTTTATAAGGGTGGTCAACAAATATAAGTGATTGATAGCTTTGCATAAGGCATGAAAGTACACTACCTTCAGGCTTCCTATGCGGTCTGGCTTATCCACACAGGTCTTGGAAGCATACGTTTCCAAGACCTGACTATTTGAAAACCCACCAGTTTAAGGTTAGTCTCACCATTTTTACGTCTTGTTTCTAGCTGGGACAAAACTTCTTTTCGTTTAAGTCTGTCTTCAAGAGATAAATCAGGTCTGACTGAAATTCCTGACCCGGCAAGGTTGTGTACATTAGCCAGTAGATGATTCCATTCATCAGGAGAACCTAAGACTACTTTAAGCAACCTACGCTGATTAGAACATTCATCATCTCTTTTGCCTATTCTGATCAGCTTTTTAATCGATACTCCAGGGAAATTCGCTGGGAGCATCTTCCTTATAATACTACTCACTAATTTAAGGTCGTGATCGTGCCTTTTCACGGGATCAGACTCTTCTAAATTTCCAACAATTATGCTAGAGTCTAAGGAGAGCTTGTCGTATTTAGCAGTGGCTACGTCTTTTCTCACCACTATTGATGCAGCCTGGCTACAGGTGACAGACGTTTGCCTACCATCAATATTACTATATTTCTTCCGATTGCTTATTTTTGTTACCCACTTATCATCTGCCTGCAGTTGCTTCTCAGGGCTGCTGCAGTTTTTGGTGGTACAATCAAGATCAGTGTCTGCACCACCTTCATGGTGAACTTCGCTTACACTGTTCTCTGGAGCTGAGATGCTGTTTACAGCTTCCGTTTTGTTACCTTTTCGCTTACTAAGACGCTTCGAACGCCTAGTAGGTTTTACTTCTGGGGTAACTGGGATAGTACCCGCCGGTGTGATAACATTCATGGTGGCACTTGCTGCGTCATCTTCAAACGGGCAGTCCGTGTCACTCTTACTAGCCACGCTATCATCAGGAAGTTCCATGGCTTTAGACAGTAGTTCGTGAGCCTCCCTTATTAAAGCCATCTTTGGGGAGCAACACATTCTGCACATCCAGTGGGATGTTGTAGTGCTCGGTTTTGTATGTGCATACTTAGACGACTGCCTCATTGCCAGTCCAGATAAGGAAACTCACCTTAGACACTTCGAATAGGCGTTGACTCACTCGATTTTCTGGGTCACACTATTGACTGTCAGGGCATTCGCCCACTGGCTACTAAAGTCGAAGCGATACTGAACTTTCCGGAGCCAAAGACAGTGAAAAGTCTTCGCACTTTTAACGGCTTGGTAAGTTATTACCGACGGTCTATTCCCAACTATGCTTCTCTGATTCAGCCATTAACAGATCTCCTTCGAGGGAATAACAAGTCTATCGAACTCGACGCGTTTTCTCGACATGCTTTTACTCAAGTTAAAAAAGCCATAGTGGATGCCACACTTCTCATGTATCAGGATCCAACGGCACCGTTAAGTATCTCAGTTGATGCATCAGACACTGCAATCGGCGCAGTTCTGCAACAACTAGTTAACAAAGAGTGGCAACCACTCACCTTTTTCTCGAGGCGCCTTCAATTAGCTGAAACGAAGTACAGCACATTTGGAAGAGAACTTCTAGCTATGTACTGTGCTATACGCCATTTTCGACATTCAGTTGAGGGTCGTGAATTCATAATTTTCACTGACCACAAACCTCTGACGTACTCTCTGAACTCAACCTCAGATAAGTATTCACCCAAAGAATCACGACAACTGGATTACGTTTCACAGTTTACATCGGATATTCGCCATGTATCTGGAGTGAACAACACTGTAGCAGATGCCTTGTCACGTATTTGTTCCTTCACCCAAATCGACGGCATAGACCTTGCAAAACTGGCTCGTCTTCAAAAAGAAGATACCGAGCTTCAGCATGAGTTGTCGAAAACAACTCTACAATTAACCGAGAAACCCTTAGGCATAGGAAAAGATACTATTCTCTGTGACATTTCCACTAGTACTCCTCGCCCTATCGTACCTAAAAGTTATCACCGTAACGTCTTCAATACGTTGCATGGCTTATCCCATCCAGGTATCCGAACTACCGTCAAGCTCGTAACTAGTCGGTTTTGTTGGCCTGGTATTAATAAGGAAGTAAGGGAATGGACACAGACGTGCCTAGCTTGCCAAAAGTGCAAGGTAATAAGACACCAAAAGCCCACTTGGCACTTTTCTTATCCCCGATGCCCATTTCGAACACGTCCATAAACATCTAGTTGCCCTCCTTCCAGAATCTCATGGATATACCTATATGTTAACCTGCATCGATCGCTTCACACGATGGCCTGAAGCAGTACCCTTCAAGGATATATCTGCTGAAACCGTCGCACGCGTCTTTGTAGAAAGATGGATCGCAAACTTTGGATGCCCATTTTCTATAACAACTGATCGCGGGCGGCAATTCGAGAGCGGTTTATTCTTCGCTTCGACTAAAATTCTCGGTTGCATGCGTTTTCGAACAACAGCCTACCATCTTCAAGCGAATGGTATGGTAGAGCATCTACAAGTGGGCTTTTGGTGTCTTATTACCTTGCACTTTTGGCAAGCTAGGCACGTCTGTGTCCATTCCCTTACTTCCTTATTAATACCAGGCCAACAAAACCGACTAGTTACGAGCTTGACGGTAGTTCGGATACCTGGATGGGATAAGCCATGCAACGTATTGAAGACGTTACGGTGATAACTTTTAGGTACGATAGGGCGAGGAGTACTAGTGGAAATGTCACAGAGAATAGTATCTTTTCCTATGCCTAAGGGTTTCTCGGTTAATTGTAGAGTTGTTTTCGACAACTCATGCTGAAGCTCGGTATCTTCTTTTTGAAGACGAGCCAGTTTTGCAAGGTCTATGCCGTCGATTTGGGTGAAGGAACAAATACGTGACAAGGCATCTGCTACAGTGTTGTTCACTCCAGATACATGGCGAATATCCGATGTAAACTGTGAAACGTAATCCAGTTGTCGTGATTCTTTGGGTGAATACTTATCTGAGGTTGAGTTCAGAGAGTACGTCAGAGGTTTGTGGTCAGTGAAAATTATGAATTCACGACCCTCAACTGAATGTCGAAAATGGCGTATAGCACAGTACATAGCTAGAAGTTCTCTTCCAAATGTGCTGTACTTCGTTTCAGCTAATTGAAGGCGCCTCGAGAAAAAGGTGAGTGGTTGCCACTCTTTGTTAACTAGTTGTTGCAGAACTGCGCCGATTGCAGTGTCTGATGCATCAACTGAGATACTTAACGGTGCCGTTGGATCCTGATACATGAGAAGTGTGGCATCCACTATGGCTTTTTTAACTTGAGTAAAAGCATGTCGAGAAAACGCGTCGAGTTCGATAGACTTGTTATTCCCTCGAAGGAGATCTGTTAATGGCTGAATCAGAGAAGCATAGTTGGGAATAGACCGTCGGTAATAACTTACCAAGCCGTTAAAAGTGCGAAGACTTTTCACTGTCTTTGGCTCCGGAAAGTTCAGTATCGCTTCGACTTTAGTAGCCAGTGGGCGAATGCCCTGACAGTCAATAGTGTGACCCAGAAAATCGAGTGAGTCAACGCCTATTCGAAGTGTCTAAGGTGAGTTTCCTTATCTGGACTGGCAATGAGGCAGTCGTCTAAGTATGCACATACAAAACCGAGCACTACAACATCCCACTGGATGTGCAGAATGTGTTGCTCCCCAAAGATGGCTTTAATAAGGGAGGCTCACGAACTACTGTCTAAAGCCATGGAACTTCCTGATGATAGCGTGGCTAGTAAGAGTGACACGGACTGCCCGTTTGAAGATGACGCAGCAAGTGCCACCATGAATGTTATCACACCGGCGGGTACTATCCTAGTTACCCCAGAAGTAAAACCTACTAGGCGTTCGAAGCGTCTTAGTAAGCGAAAAGGTAACAAAACGGAAGCTGTAAACAGCATCTCAGCTCCAGAGAACAGTGTAAGCGAAGTTCACCATGAAGGTGGTGCAGACACTGATCTTGATTGTACCACCAAAAACTGCAGCAGCCCTGAGAAGCAACTGCAGGCAGATGATAAGTGGGTAACAAAAATAAGCAATCGGAAGAAATATAGTAATATTGATGGTAGGCAAACGTCTGTCACCTGTAGCCAGGCTGCATCAATAGTGGTGAGAAAAGACGTAGCCACTGCTAAATACGACAAGCTCTCCTTAGACTCTAGCATAATTGTTGGAAATTTAGAAGAGTCTGATCCCGTGAAAAGGCACGATCACGACCTTAAATTAGTGAGTAGTATTATAAGGAAGATGCTCCCAGCGAATTTCCCTGGAGTATCGATTAAAAAGCTGATCAGAATAGGCAAAAGAGATGATGAATGTTCTAATCAGCGTAGGTTGCTTAAAGTAGTCTTAGGTTCTCCTGATGAATGGAATCATCTACTGGCTAATGTACACAACCTTGCCGGGTCAGGAATTTCAGTCAGACCTGATTTATCTCTTGAAGACAGACTTAAACGAAAAGAAGTTTTGTCCCAGCTAGAAACAAGACGTAAAAATGGTGAGACTAACCTTAAACTGCTGGGTTTTCAAATAGTCAGGTCTTGGAAACGTATGCTTCCAAGACCTGTGTGGATAAGCCAGACCGCATAGGAAGCCTGAAAGTCGTGTTCTCTAATATACGTAGTATTGGGAACAATTTTCACTTTCTAGGCGTATTAATGGAAAACCTTACCGCAGGTATTGTGACGATTACTGAAACATGGCTAGTTTCCGGATTTGATGACACACCTGACCTATGCGGATATAGTTGCTTGCGCAGCGACGGGGTAATGGTCGTAGAGGTGGCGGGGTTGCTCTTCACATCAGCAACTCCCTACATATTCGTTCTGTGAAATCTTAAGCGCATTACAGTGGGGCAAGTGAGGTTATTAGCTGTGAAGTAAGCTTTGCAACTGGCACTCTACTCATTGGAGTTCTGTATAGAAGTCCCTATTGTCAGTGTGATGACTTTATCTTAGATCACCTCAAACAACGGAGTAAACACAGGTGTCTTTTTCTAGGTGATTTTAATGCACCTCATATAGACTGGGTAGCTGTCACATCTCCAGGATCCGCTAATAGGTTTGACAGCCGGTTACTCTTGACTACTATGGAAAATGCCCTGACACAACATGTCTTAGGTAGTACAAAATTCGGTTCTACCCAAGGATCTTCCTTGCTGGACTTAGTGCTTACTCATGACAACGACGACGTGGATGGTCTAGTTTTTCATCCACCTCTAGCAAACAGTGATCATGGGGTGTTAGATTTTAACTTAAGGGCTGGCAATTTAGTCAGTTTTCAACCCAAATCCCGATCTAGTGTTTGGCATGCTGACATAGTCGCTATAAAGGAGCGTGCTTCAACTGCCGACTGGTCAGTCAATGTGGTCTCATCCATTGAAGATGAATGGGATAGATTTAAGAGTACACTTGAGAGAGTTACCACTGATTTCATTCCCTGGAGGGTTCCTAAAAGGCCAACAAATCGGCCACCATGGATAAATAGGCAAGCTATAACACCCCTAAGATGGAAAAAAAGATTCTGGAATCTCTTTGTTTCTACTGGGCTACAGCAGTTCCGGCTGAAATACTGTGAAACCAGAAAACAGTGTAAAACTTTGATTCACCAGTCAAGAATAGCTTACGAAACCCAGTTATTTAAAAGTTCACCAGGCTGCCTAAAAAGACTCTTCTCATATATCAAGAGAAGAACACATAAGAGTGATGCTATCCCACCTCTTATGCTTGAAGATGACCAGACAAACATGTCTGAGGATAACTTGACTAAGGCTGAGGCCTTGTCCAAGCACTTTAGTCAAGTATTCTCTGATAATATTAATACCAGCTTTGTAACTTTTCCAGAAGGTAACTTGAAAATGGCACCCTTATACATTGGAAAGGATACTGTCCCAAAGTGGCTTCTAAGGCTCAATCCTGGTAAGTCCAGTGGCCCTGATGAACTCCACCCACGTATATTAACAGCATTGGCTGAAAACATAGCCGAGTCATTGTCGGTAATCTTCAATATGTCTCTGGACCAGTCTAAGTGTCCAAGAGACTGGAAAGATGCCGTCATTAGTCCGGTCTTCAAAACCGGATCTAGAAACTTAGTTCAGAACTATCGTCCTGTTAATTTGACCAGTTTGTTGTTAAACTACTAGAAAGAACAATTCGTGATGCTATCAGTCAGTTCATTGAAGGGAACAAACTTTTCGCTGTGGAACAGCATGGTTTTAGAGCAGGTCATTCTTGCTTGACCAACCTTTTGGCCAGAGAAAGTTGGGCAAGCTCAGCTGATGCCAATATACCAGTGGATGCCATATTCATCGACCTTAGCAAGGCGTTTAACAGGGTTTCTCATTCAGGTCTTCTAGTAGTCTTCTAGGTAGTCTGGGAATCAATAAAGTGGTTGCCGACTGGATTCAAGACTTTCTAAAGGACAGAAGACAAAGAGTACGAGTTAATGGGATTTTATCGACATGGGAATCGGTTAAGAGTGGCGTTCCTCAGGGTACAATTCTAGGCCCAATTCTTTTCCTGATTTATGTTAATGAGATTCCATCGGTAGTTAAGTCATTCTGCTTCCTGTTTACTGATGACATCAAGATATGGAGGGCTTTACACGATGACAGTGATCAACTTGCTTTGCAGGAAGATTTAAACTTGTTAAGTGATTGGTGTAAGCACTGGGCCTTGGAGATTAACTTAAGCAAGAGTGTAGTTATGTATGTATCTCATAATCACGTGCACAATTACTCAATGAATGGCATTACTCTCCCAGTGGTCACTGAGTACAAGGACTTGGGAGTGGTAGTGCAGCATGACTTGAAAATAGCAACAAACTGCAGAGCTGCAGCCATAAAGGATTTTCGAATATTATGGGCCATACGCAAGGCTTTTGCTAACTTTGACGCTGAAATATTTCGTATATTACATCCGACTTATATCAGACCTCATTTGGAATATGGGATCCAGGCAGCGAGCCCGTGTTTCAAATACGAAATAGACTTATTAGAAAGGATGCAAAGAGTAGGAACTAAGCTAATAAAGGGTTTCTCAACCCTCTCATATGAGGAGAGGTTAAGTCGACTGGGTTTATTTCCACTGACATACAGACGACTTAGGGGTGACCTAATACTAGCATACCGTATCCTAAGAAATGATTTTGGAGCTAATTTATTTCTTCCTTCTAGCACCAACCATTTACGAGGACATCACCTCAAGGTGCAAAAACCACGGTCGAATCGTCTGCGTCTGGAGATCCGTTTTTCGCATCGAATTGTGAACCATTGGAACTCCCTACCGGAACACGTCGTATCAGCGCCATCCGTTGATTCATTCAAGGCGAGATTGGACCTCTTGTGTGCAACAAATCGAAAGAATTAACACAGGCATATAGCCTACTATCCTAAATAAATTGTAAAATGTACACTGAAGGCGTATTGTAGAACTTTACAAACTCAAACATTTATTTGCTAATCTAAGTACAAAAGGTACACTATAGGCAGTGACATACATTGTTTTGTAAGCAGACCAATGAATTACGCCTCAAAAACAAACATGCTGACTTCATACGTGTATGTGATGTTATTGAAGAACTAAATGGAACTTTCGCAATCTGTTCAGATGATGGGCATTCTTACCATGTCGATAGGAATATTGCAACATGTATATGTCCACTAAATTCTGGATCATTAATACCTTATCGTCATCTAGTTGAAATACACTCTTCTTTTGGACTACATACAGGTAATTCCTTTTGGTCATAAAATATTTTTGGAAATAGGTACACCTTTTAGATGTCAGCAATGGCTCAGATCTCACAACAAAGATCCACTATCTACAGTATTGAATTTTGGAATGCAAAACGATGTCTAAGCTGTGGTAGCGATTGCAGCTGAAAAGTCAGTATTCTCCAACTGTTATTGTTGAAACCATTACCTGGGTAAATGATCTATTGAATTCCTTGGGATTGAAAAGTACAGATATGGCTACCAACTGTATACTATCCACTCTGTTCCACTTGAAGTTAGTAACAACTATTGAACAGGAATTTAGTTGATAATTTCTTCGATGCGTTCCTACCGGCCACAGTTATATCCGTTGACATAAAAACATTTGAATTCCTTGCAACACAGTTGGTATTTAATACAGTAAATAGCAACGACGTTGCTCTTGAACATTCACAACATTAGTAATATGCTGAATTCAATGCTATTTGTGTACAAAGCCAGATATCTCAATATGAACTTCCATGTAAGAATTTATATTTCCCACTGTCAAAATAAAAAAGAAATGCAAATCCATAAAACCCGACTTCTTTGAAAACAACCATGGTTTTGCCCATAAGGCTGCAAATGTCGTACCTATCCAGCGTCCAATAATCCTTATACTAAAAGTATTTCATATCGTAATCGGTGAGAATATCGAATATGACAAATATTCACCTCATATCAAAACAGATGATCTCCCTTGTACTCTGTCTCCCACTTCTACGGGGATGGTATGTCGTGTATTTGTCTTTCAGGATGTGGTGGTTGATTGTGAGTGGTTTCAGTGAGGATGTTTTGTATTACTAGTTTGGTTGTGTGTCTTGTTGTGTGTTTGGATTTCACATGTTGTTGTGTTGTTGTTTGGTTTGGCGTAATTTTCTGTTGTGTATTGAAGATGTTGTGAATGTGATAGTAGTGAGTATTGATTGTTGGTTTTGTGGTTCATCTTGTGTTCCTCTGTGTGTGTGTTTTAATGAAATCATGTCATGGGTGTGAGGGTGACGCCACTGGTGGTGTGGTTGGTGGAGATTTAGTTGAGTGGTTGTTGTTGTTGTTGTCGTCGTTCAGCTGTTCTCTTCTTCTACTTCTGCTTCTTGTTGTTGGCGACGGTGATGACGAAATGGGTGTTAGTGATAGTGAAGAGGACGACATTGGTGTGTTGGTGATTGTGCTGAGTGTAGTGTGTATGATAGGTAGACGGTGTTTGTGTAAGGATTATTGTGTAGTGTGTTCATTGAGGGTAAGGTGTTGGTATTCGATTGTGGTTGTAGGCGTGGATGTTGTTGGTCACTTAGAGAGTCGTGTCGACGTGATGTGATGAGTGGGTGTGGGGTAGGATAAGTTGATTGTGACGGTGTCGTTGATGACGATATTGCTGTTGATTTGTTGTGTGTATTGATGGTGTTGGAGTTGTATTTTTCTTGTTGAATCGTTGTGTTGATGAATGATTTTGAGGTGTCGTGTTATTGGATAGATAGATGATGGTGATTTGCTTTGTTGTTATTTTGAAGTGGATGTTTGTTGTGGGAAAGTGAGTGTTGATTGACTGTGAAGTGAATGTACGTTGGAATAATGAGTTGCGTAGTGTGTTGACGACTGTAAGCGAGGTGTCGATAATATTGTGTTTGTTGTTGTGAATGTGTTGTGGTGTGTATTTTGATTGATAATTATAGGTGTTTGATGGTATGAGAGTTGATGTGTTGTTTTCAATTTATATTGTTGTTGTTGTTGTTGTTGACGAGTTTTGTTTTTGTGCTATGAGTGTTGTGTGGTTGTCATGGATGTGATGTGGTGTCTTTTGGCTTTGTAGATGGATGATGTGTGTGCTAGAATGTTTGGCAAGGTCTCCACATTCCTGGTTGCTGTTCCATGGAATACTAGTCATCTTGCGAAAGTGATATTGACCTGTGCTGTTGTGTAAGCCTCTGTGAGGAGGTGAATATGCACGGTCGGACAAACACGACGAGCTTCCATGTTATTTGGTGATAGTTGATTTGTGTGTGTGTGTGTTGTGGGTTGTGTGGGCTGTATGTGGGTGTGGGGCGATAGTATGTTGTGTATTTGTCTTTCAGGATGTGGTGGTTGATTGTGAGTGGTTTCAGTGAGGATGTTTTGTATTACTAGTTTGGTTGTGTGTCTTGTTGTGTGTTTGGATTTCACATGTTGTTGTGTTGTTGTTTGGTTTGGCGTAATTTTCTGTTGTGTATTGAAGATGTTGTGAATGTGGTAGTTGTGAGTATTGATTTGTGCTTTATATTGTGTTCCTCTGTGTGTGAGGGTGAGGCCACTGGTGGTGTGGTTGGTGGAGATTTAGTTGAGTGGTTGTTGTTGTTGTTGTCGTCGTTCAGCTGTTCTCTTCTTCTACTTCTGCTTCTTGTTGTTGGCGACGGTGATGACGAAATGGGTGTTAGTGATAGTGAAGAGGACGACATTGGTGTGTTGGTGATTGTGCTGAGTGTAGTGTGTATGATAGGTAGACGGTGTTTGTGTAAGGATTATTGTGTAGTGTGTTCATCGAAGGTAAGGTGTTGGTATTCGATTGTGGTTGTAGGCGTGGATGTTGTTGGTCACTTAGAGAGTCGTGTCGACGTGATGTGATGAGTGGGGTTGGGGTAGGATAAGTTGATTGTGACGGTGTCGTTGATGACGATATTGCTGTTGATTTGTTGTGTGTATTGATGGTGTTGGAGTTGTATTTTTCTTGTTGAATCGTTGTGTTGATGAATGATTTTGAGGTGTCGTGTTATTGGATAGATAGATGATGGTGATTTGCTTTGTTGTTATTTTGAAGTGGATGTTTGTTGTGGGAAAGTGAGTGTTGATTGACTGTGAAGTGAATGTACGTTGGAATAATGAGTTGCGTAGTGTGTTGACGACTGTAAGCGAGGTGTCGATAATATTGTGTTTGTTGTTGTGAATGTGTTGTGGTGTGTATTTTGATTGATAATTATAGGTGTTTGATGGTATGAGAGTTGATGTGTTGTTTTAAATTTATATTGTTGTTGTTGTTGACGAGTAGTTTTGTTTTTGTGCTGTGAGTGTTGTGTGGTTGTCATGGATGTGATGTGGTGTCTTTTGGCTTTGTAGATGGATGATGTGTGTGCTAGAATGTTTGGCAAGGTCTCCACATTCCTGGTTGCTGTTCCATGGAATACTAGTCATCTTGCGAAAGTGATATTGACCTGTGCTGTTGTGTAAGCCTCTGTGAGGAGGTGAATATGCACGGTCGGACAAACACGACGAGCTTCCATGTTATTTGCTGATAGTTGATTTGTGTGTGTGTGTGTTGTGGGTTGTGTGGGCTGTATGTGGGTGTGGGGCGATAGTATGTTGTGTATTTGTCTTTCAGGATGTGATGGTTGATTGTGAGTGTTTTCAGTGAGGATGTTTTGTATTACTAGTTTGGTTGTGTGTCTTGTTGTGTGTTTGGATTTCACATGTTGTTGTGTTGTTGTTTGGTTTGGTGTAATTTTCTGTTGTGTATTGAAGATGTTGTGAATGTGGTAGTTGTGAGTATTGATTTGTGCTTTATATTGTGTTCCTCTGTGTGTGAGGGTGACGCCACTGGTGGTGTGGTTGGTGGAGATTTAGTTGAGTGGTTGTTGTTGTTGTTGTCGTCGTTCAGCTGTTCTCTTCTTCTACTTCTGCTTCTTGTTGTTGGCGACGGTGATGACGAAATGGGTGTTAGTGATAGTGAAGAGGACGACATTGGTGTGTTGGTGATTGTGCTGAGTGTAGTGTGTATGATAGGTAGACGGTGTTTGTGTAAGGATTATTGTGTAGTGTGTTCATGGAAGGTGGGGTGTTGGTATTCGATTGTGGTTGTAGGCGTGGATGTTGTTGGTCACTTAGAGAGTCGTGTCGACGTGATGTGATGAGTGGGTGTGGGGTAGGATAAGTTGATTGTGACGGTGTCGTTGATGACGATATTGCTGTTGATTTGTTGTGTGTATTGATGGTGTTGGAGTTGTATTTTTCTTGTTGAATCGTTGTGTTGATGAATGATTTTGAGGTGTCGTGTTATTGGATAGATAGATGATGGTGATTTGCTTTGTTGTTATTTTGAAGTGGATGTTTGTTGTGGGAAAGTGAGTGTTGATTGACTGTGAAGTGAATGTACGTTGGAATAATGAGTTGCGTAGTGTGTTGACGACTGTAAGCGAGGTGTCGATAATATTGTGTTTGTTGTTGTGAATGTGTTGTGGTGTGTATTTTGATTGATAATTATAGGTGTTTGATGGTATGAGAGTTGATGTGTTGTTTTAAATTTATATTGTTGTTGTTGACGAGTAGTTTTGTTTTTGTGCTGTGAGTGTTGTGTGGTTGTCATGGATGTGATGTGGTGTCTTTTGGCTTTGTAGATGGATGATGTGTGTGCTAGAATGTTTGGCAAGGTCTCCACATTCCTGGTTGCTGTTCCATGGAATACTAGTCATCTTGCGAAAGTGATATTGACCTGTGCTGTTGTGTAAGCCTCTGTGAGGAGGTGAATATGCACGGTCGGACAAACACGACGAGCTTCCATGTTATTTGGTGATAGTTGATTTGTGTGTGTATGTGTTGTGGGTTGTGTCGGCTGTATGGTGTGTGGGGGGCGATAGTATGTTGTGTATTTGTCTTTCAGGATGTGGTGGTTGATTGTGAGTGGTTTCAGTGAGGATGTTTTGTATTACTAGTTTGTTTGTGTGTTTGGATTTCACATGTTGTTGTGTTGTGGTTTGGTTTGGTGTAATTTTCTGTTGTGTATTGAAGATGTTGTGAATGTGGTAGTTGTGAGTATTGATTGTTGGTTTTGTGGTTCATGTTGTGTTCCTCTGTATGTGTGTGTGTGTGTGTGTTAATGAAATCATGTCATGTGTGTGAGGGTGACGCCACTGGTGGTGTGGTTGGTGGAGATTTAGTTGAGTGGTTGTTGTTGTTGTTGTCGTCGTTCAGCTGTTCTCTTCTTCTACTTCTGCTTCTTGTTGTTGGCGACGGTGATGACGAAATGGGTGTTAGTGATAGTGAAGAGGACGACATTGGTGTGTTGGTGATTGTGCTGAGTGTAGTGTGTATGATAGGTAGACGGTGTTTGTGTAAGGATTATTGTGTAGTGTGTTCATGGAAGGTGGGGTGTTGGTATTCGATTGTGGTTGTAGGCGTGGATGTTGTTGGTCACTTAGAGAGTCGTGTCGACGTGATGTGATGAGTGGGTGTGGGGTAGGATAAGTTGATTGTGACGGTGTCGTTGATGGCGATATTGCTGTTGATTTGTTGTGTGTATTGATGGTGTTGGAGTTGTATTTTTCTTGTTGAATCGTTGTGTTGATGAATGATTTTGAGGTGTCGTGTTATTGGATAGATAGATGATGGTGATTTGCTTTGTTGTTATTTTGAAGTGGATGTTTGTTGTGGGAAAGTGAGTGTTGATTGACTGTGAAGTGAATGTACGTTGGAATAATGAGTTGCGTAGTGTGTTGACGACTGTAAGCGAGGTGTCGATAATATTGTGTTTGTTGTTGTGAATGTGTTGTGGTGTGTATTTTGATTGATAGATAATTATAGGTGTTTGATGGTATGAGAGTTGATGTGTTGTTTTTTTAAATTTATATTGTTGTTGTTGTTGTTGTTGACGAGTTTTGT